GCCAAAAAAAAAAAAAAAAAACCTGTTCACTGTCATCTCCTCTACTAGAGGGAATTAAAGCTGGCCTGTTAAGTTGCCTGACGGGACCACTAAATGTCTAAATTGGGAATCGACTATATTCTATCCAGTTTAACCCTCTCTGTTAACACGGGGAAACAGGGGTCCAGGGAGTTCGAGAAAGTTGCCCAGAGACAGACAACTACTTTTGAGCTGGGCCAATTGTAAGACCAGGGTTCCTTTCACTAACCAACACCTTTTCATTTATGTGGCCTTTCACAGTTTACCAAGCACCTCCTCAGCTCCATGGCCTCATTTATTGTACTATATCCATGAGCTTACAGAGGTGGCTTTTGGGAGATTTTCTGCATCCTCAGACCAGTGTTGCAATAGCTTATTCTATACTGACCCTTAAATTTTAAAAATATATATGTACACACACATGTAAATGTGTGTGTACATATATATGCACATATGGAAGACACGGCACCACATCTCCCTGTGTCACCCCATGCGGGCCACACCCTGGCAGTCACAAAGCACAAAGAGAAAATGGTCTTCGGTTTCAGAATTCCCGAGTTGCCACTGATGCTTCAATACTAAAGGGCTTAGAAGTGTTTACACTTTCAAGAGGAGTAGGAATGTTTTAGGCTTCCCTTTAATGAGTCTCATTTTGAGACAGGATGGCAAGGTTGGCCAGCCACTCTTCATGCAGTTTTTGTAGTAAGTCTTTCAGAGAATGAATGGTGAAGCCAATTCATTTCTCCTCCTGGAATTTGTCCTTCTTTTTCTCTGTTGTGAGGTTATATATTAAAGGTATGGGCATATAGACATGAAAGATACGGGCTATCACGTGAGGGAGGAAATCAGACAATAAATCAAAAGAAACCTACGGAAATTAAAAATCTGAACTCAGGGGCAGGGCAGGAGGCGACACGGTCTTTTCACAGAGCCGTTACACATAATGCAACTGTCCTCAAAAGCAGGAATGGAGAAGACTAGCCATTCAGCTGCAGAAGGAAGCTGGGGTCTTGGCTTTAGAGCTTTCAATGTCTTTAGCATTAGGCTGGGCAGCAAGTGCCTTTTCCAGAGTAGGCCAGAGAAGATAAGTCCAGTTTGGTTTTTAAGGCTTGGGTCAGCTCTGTGGCCAGCAGCTCGTGGAGGGACACACCGTCGTGGGAGTACACCCAGTTTCTCCCAGTCCAGTCGTAATGCTTGGGGCCGCTGGATGGTGAAGATAACCAGATTCGCTTGTTTGGGGTCTGCTTGTTGATCACGTACGTTCCTAGATCTCCACCCAGTTTAATTGTTAAAACACCACTCCCAGAGGAGACATCATAGCCTTCAGGTGTGTAAGGTTTGTCTGCAAGGTCTTCAGAAGACTCTGCTAAGGAGTCCAGCGTCTCCTCGGCCAGTCTTTCCTAAGTGGTATCGTTCACAGGGCCAGCGTCACCCCAAGTTCCCGTTGTCCTCAAATCCATCCAACAGACACACTGCTTTTTGACATTCAGGATCTGGTTGAGGCAGCAGAGGCTCAGACTGGGCTGGCTGGGTGTGCCGGCCGCGGCGGTCCCGGTGCGCAGGCCCCGGCAGCCGTAGAGCCGGGGGTCCTTCGTTGGCCGCGGGGCCGCAGCGCGGGCCTGGGCAGAGCCCGGGGGCGCCGAGCAGGGCAAGAGGCTGGCAGCCGCTCGGCGCCCAAGCGTCCACATGCTCCTCGCGATCTGCGGCCGCTCATTTTGGCCTCTTAAGGTTGCCTTCAGAACTGTCCTGACGCTGGTGGGTGTGTCATTTAGCATATGCTGATATATCACAACGAGCGTATAATGAGGCTCAAGGTCCACTGGAGGTTGAATTTTCCACCACCTTGGACCTAGTTGGTTCTAACCAGTTTATGTCATATCCTCAACGGCTAAGTCATTCTTTTAAAGGTTGTGCCCTGCCCCCTTCCCTCCTGTTTCATCTTCTTTCGCTTAGCATGTTTTTGAGGTTCTCCCAAGTTGTAGCATGTATTAATACTTTGTCCCTTTTAATGGCCGAATAATATTCCATTGTATGGACACGCCATAGTTTGTCCATTCATTTGGGTTGTTTTCACCTTTTGGCTATTGTGAATAACACTGCTATAGACATTTGTGTTCAAGTTTCCATGTGGACATATGTTTTCATTTCTCTTGGGTATCTACCTAAGAGTGGAATTGCTGGCTCACATAGTAATTCTATGTTTAACTTTCTGATGAACTGCCAAACTGTTCTCCACAGGAATGACGCACTGAGCTGCTGCCCATGGAACTCACTGGCCTTATCACATACTCACCCAGTTCATGGAAGTGCACGAGATCTGTGAAGACTTAGTTTTGGCTCCAGATTTAGCAAAATAATAAATTAAAAGATAAGCTGAAAACTCTCTTAACAACAAAAATCCAGACTGCTGGTCAAATTGAATTTTTTTAAGTATTAAAATTTTTAAATTGTACCTATTTTTGAATGTATAATAGGGGTCCGTGGTACATAGTCCAAAAGGTATTAAAAAGTAAGTGAAAAGAAAGAATCTGTTCCCCACCTACCCAGTCTCTTCCCCAGAGGCAACTACCATTCCTAATGTCTTGTGTATCCTTCCTGAGTTAATTGGTAATTTTGCAAGCATATACATACATATTAATAAAAATTATTTTAAATGCAGAGCAGAGGTAAAAGAAAACAGGAAGTGGGACTTCCCTGGTGGCACAGTGGTTAAGAATCCGCCTGCCAATGCAGGGGACACGGGTTCGAGCCCTGGTCTGGGAAGATCCCACATGCCGCGGAGCAACTAAGCCCATGCACCACAACTAATGAACCTGCGCTCTAGAGCCTGCGAGCCACAACTACTGAAGCCTACATGCCACAACTACTGAAGCCCGCGCGCCTAGAGCCCGTGCTCCGCAACAAGAGAATCCACCGCGATGAGAAGCCTGAGCACCGCAATGAAGGGTAGCCGCCGCTCCCCGCAACTAGAGAAAGCCCGCGTGCAGCAAAGAGGACCCAACGCAACCAAAAATAAAAATAAATTTAAAAATTAATTAATTAAAAAGAAAACAGGAAGTCCCCAGATGCCAGAAATGAAAAGAGAACTGAAAAACAGCATGGGGAGCACTTGAGCTGCCTAAGAGGCTACCCAGGAATTTAGGAGTTTAATGCTCATGTGGGCAGAGGACCTTGATCCCAGGGGAGGCAGAGAATTGGAACGGAGGCCCCTACAAAGCCCTGGAAACCTCAAAGAGCTGAACCTTCAGCAAAAAGCTGGGCTAGAAAAAAATTCACCTGCCAGCATAGGGTGAAATAAGGCGGCTTATCTCTTTTGTCCAATGGGAAAAGTGCTTCCCCCAAGACAGTCTGGGCCTGCACTTTGCACAGGGTTGGCTCTAAATTTACACCACCTGCATGATCTGGGGGACCAGGCAGAGAAATGAGTGTAAATATTCTCCCTGAGCCATGGAAGTCAAGTCTGGCCCTTCCTCACCTGGCACTGTCTTCACAGGTAAAAGAATGAGGCCAGGACTTATTCAGTACCAGACTGATTGCTATACAATTTCCTCTTGCCCTTTACCCCTGAGCGTCCCCAGAGCCCTGCTGCTCCTGCTGCTGCAACCCCAAAACTCCCCTGCATTCAGGCCCAAAGGACGAGGACTTGTGTGCACCCAGCAGGGTGTCCCGTGTGAACGGTGAGCTTGTCCACTCTAGCTGACTTCCATTTCTGCTTCTGTGCTGTGTATGGACAGAATCTCCATTGGTCTGATTAACATCCTCCCAGTAATGGGGCCACCTTCCTTGCTTTTCTGCTCCAAATCCAAAGTGGGCATCCTGGTGGATGAGAGAGGGATGTGTGTCAGCAGGCTGAATCCTGTCCTCATCCTACCTCGCCTCCTGGAGCTGGAAGGAGAACGGAGCTCACCTTCCCCAGAGGAGACAGACACTGAACACACAGAGGGACCCCAGAGCCCAGAAAAGACAGCACCAGCTAGCTGATTCTCATCATATTGGAGGAAGAGAGAGGATTCCCTAGGGAGACAAGAAGAGGGCATTCCAGGCAGAGGGAACAGCATCTGAAAAGGCATGAAGCAGATGGTGTGTTTGGGGAACGCTGAGAAGCCCATGGTGTGAGCCTGGAAGAGAGGAGGGGAGGGGGGAGGGGTCAGACCATGCCAGGTCTTGGAAGCCAGACAGGAGTTTTGTTTTTTTTTTTTAAAGTAGCACTTAAATTAGTGTGATTGGATCATTGGAGGAAGGTGTGTATTCAGCAGGGGATGGCGATCCTAGGGGCCGTCTTAGAATTGCACCTACTGCACTCACCAGTGCCAAAGTGAAAGCTTTGCTTGTCTGCTGGTGCCTGACTTCCTCCTCCCGTATGTGACAGAGGATGTCACAACCCTGCATCTGACATTTATTTATTTATTTATTTAGGCTGTGTTGGGTCTTCATTTCTGTGCGAGGGCTTTCTCTAGTTGTGGCAAGCAGGGGCCACTCTTCATCGCGGTGCGCGGGCCTCTCACTATCGCGGCCTCTCCCGTTGCGGAGCACAGGCTCCAGATGCGCAGGCTCAGTAGTTGTGGCTCTCGGGCCTAGTTACTCTGCAGCATGTGGGATCTTCCCAGACCAGGGCTCGAACCCATGTCGCCTGCATCGGCAGGCAGATTCTCAACCACTTTGCCACCAGGGAAGCCCGACAGGAGCTTTTAAACTCTATGCTGAAGGCATAACAGGGAAAAGTTTTAAGTGAGGAAAGGACAAGAATCTTTAACTGGGTCACAGGTGTGCAAGGCACAGAACAGAGCCACGAGCCCCTGGGATGGATACTGACCCTTTTATCCAGCCTGTTGCCCTGGGTGTACCTGAGGAAGGTGGGGCTGATCACCAGGACCTGGGGAAGAAGGGGGAGAGGGCCAACCTGGGGCCCTTCCCACAGCAGCCCGAAGCTAAATCTTCCTGCCTCTCATCCCCTTACCTGGTCTTTTCTATCTTCCATTCCACTAGGGAACTGGACCATCTTCCAAAATCTAAGGAAGAAGTAGGAGGTGGGGGAGTTTCAGCAGCCCTTGAGACCTGCGAAAGTCCTGCAGGTGCTCTCGATAAGCCAGCAGAGGGTCTCCCTGGAGCCCCCTCTGTCATCTCCTGCAGTGACCTCTCCTTACCCCCCATACTAAGAATGTCTGGGTTCCCAGACCATCACCTCTTCACTCAGAGCATCTGAAGTCCATGCCAGAACAAAGAGCTTCAGGAGCAGCAGATCCAGCTGCCTCCAAGAACCCTGGTCCCTGTCATTCCTGAGGGAGACGGACTGTCCTGTGGTTTGGTTCCCCAGCATCTCGAAGCCCTGAATAGGGACCTGGTTCATCCTGGGAAGGAAAGCAGAAACTGACAAACCTCTGGGGGCAGACCTGGACGTCCAGTCCTCTGCCCCCTCCTCAGTGCCCACCTGGAGACCGCGGTGTGATTGGCGCTCTTGCCGAGGCTGGCGGCCCACAGGATCTTCGAGTTCCCCACCGATGCACAAGTTCCACAGAAGAGATCAAAATGGCTCACCGAGGTCCTGGGAATCACCTTGAACAGCTTCTCCCACACTCTGCCCAGCTCGCTTGCTGAGTTCATGCCCTGAAAACAGCAGGAGGGAGGAGATTGGGGGTTGAGATCCAGGTATGGGCCCCCGGTGGAAGGAAAGCAGAGCTAGGTGGGTGAGACCTCCATCCGGAGGTCAGGGGTTGAGGCTGTGAAGATAGGAGGCACACGAAGCCAGGGCCGAGGGCAGGAGTTTGGGCCAGGAAGTGGGAGGTGGGCTGGGCCTGGGAAGGACGGGATGGGCTGGCCCAGTGTTGACCACTGACCGACCACGAGAGCACAGCGTCAGGGCTGGTGGGCTCTGCTGTTCCTATGAGGTGCCCCATCGTCTTCTCATAACCTACATCAAACCAGCTCCCTCCGGCCGTGTGGTGGCAGACAGAGTCGTTGAGGGTCCTGGATGGGCAGCTATATTTCCTGAATTTGAACAGAGGGCAGCTGCAACGCCATGGTACCACCTTCATCCATTTTTCGTGGGGTGCCGATTCCGGCTTCAGATCCAGGCAGGGGGCCATCAGCCACAAGATGAGCATCAAGGAGATGCACAGGACAAAAATCTGCCAGCAGCACTTCATGTCTGGCCCAGGCAAAAGCTCCAGTGGCAGGCAGCTGACTGGCTCCTCTACCTGGGACTGGGAGGGGTGAGGAACTGAGGCCACAGATAGCCCCCCAACCCTCTGTCTTGTTGGCTTCCACGGCTCTCCAGCCCTCCACACCACACCTCCTCCCAACCCCTCATCTCCCACTTCTCTATCCATTTGCTCCCCTCCAAAGGGGACTCTGGCTGGGCCTGGGATGGGAGGTGTGAGAGCAGAGAGATAACATATGGTGTGTGCCCTATCCTCCCTGCAGGAGGAAGGCTGAGCTCTCAGTGGGGTCCTCAGTGCCACTGGGTATATCATGGCTCTCATCACAAAGTACACATTGTGACCTCCCTCCTTTAGGCACAAAGCCACCACCCTAGCCTGTCTGTTACACACAAGCTGCCTGCACTGAGTGCAAGATCCACGCGGATAGAGACTGACCTTGACTGTCTTCTTTACCTCCGAATCCCTAAGACTGAGAATCATGTAATAAATATTTACAGGAAACAGGAACAGAGTGGAGAGGGAACTGTAGATACTATTTATGTGTGAAGCCCCCTCTCCAATAGTGTATCTTCGGCTCAGGCCTCTCTTCTCTTCTCTAGACCCCATACCCAGCAGCCTGTTGCACCTCAGCTTAGATGTCTCAGAGACCTGTCACCCTGAGCAAGCCGGAGACAGAACTCATGTTGCTCCCTCTAAACCAACCCCTTCCCAAGACTTCTCTATCTCAACAGATGTTCCTCCATTCAGCTTGTTGCGGAAGCCAGAAACCCATGCGCTATCCTTGACTCCTCCCTCTCCTATGATTTCCAAATCATTTTTTAAAATTTATTTATTTTATTTATTTATTTTTGGCTGCATTGGGTCTTCGGTGCTGTGCGCGGGCTTTCTCTAGTTGTGGCGAGCGGGGCTATTCTTCCTTGCGGTGTGCGGGCTTCTCATTGCGGTGGCTTCTCTTGTTGTGGAGCACGGGCTCTAGAGTGCAGGCTCCGTAGTTGTGGCGCACGGGCTTAGTTGCTCCATGGCATGTGGGATCTTCCCGGACCAGGGCTCGAACCCGTGTCCCCTGCATTCTCAGGCAGATTCTTAACCACTGCGGCACCAGGGAAGCCCTCCAAATCATTTTTAATCTATTTGTTTCTATTTCCAAACCACCTTCTTCATCTCCAGTGTCACTCCCTTAATTCAATATTGGCCTGTGGAAGATGTTAAAAAACAAAATGAAAAACTTTGAGTTGTTTTTAAGGTTTCAGAAGACAAGGAGGGTCAGAAATCATGCAATTTTACTTTTAAATCAAAATGTTTTCTTCCATAGGAGGAGAACAGTAAAACAGTTACCATAACTAGTGAAAATCCGCACTGGGTATTTTATAGATTAAAAAAAATTCACCAAAAAGTCTGAGTAAGGGTCTTCCTTGGTGGTGCAGTGGTTAAGAATCTGCCTGCCAATGCAGGGGACACGGGTTCGATCCCTGGTCTGGGAAGATCCCACATGCCACGGAGCAACTAAGCCCATGCGTCACAACTACTGAAGTCCGGGCGCTCTAGAGCCCGAGCACAGCAACTACTGAGCCCACATGCCACAACTACTGAAGTCCGCGTGCTCTAGGGCCCACGTGCTGCAACTGCTGAAGCTCAGGCGTCTAGAGCCCGTGCTCTGCAACAAGAGAAGCCACCGTAATGAGAAGCCAGTGCACCGCAACAAAGAGTAGCCCATGCTCGCTGCAACTAGAGAAAGCCTGCGCACAGCAACAAAGAACCACCGCAGCCAAAAAAAGAAAACGAAAAAACAATCTGAATAATATCTGTAGACTAATTGTATTGTCTCAATATCAATTTCCTGGTTTGGATAATGTACTGTAAGTACTATATGGTAAGATGAAACTTGGTGATGGGTACATGGGACCTCTCTTTACTGTTTTTGCAATTTCTTATGTGCCTATTCCTATTTCAAAATAAAAACTTAAAAAAAAATCATCTAGAAAAAGAAGCCTAGTAAGCTCTATTGGTGTTTCATTTATATCAACAAATGTAATATTTTTTTATTGTTGTAAACACTCAAAAATTTACCATTTTAACCATTTTAAAGTGTACAATAATTCAGTGACATCTAGGACATTCACAGTGTAATGCAACCATCACTACTATCTAATTCCAGAACATACTCATCACCCCAAAAGGAAACCCCACACCCATTAAGGAATCGTTCCCCATTCCTCTCTTCTCCAGCCCATGGCAAGATGCAATCTTTTAAAAACATCTCAAAATATTAGGTTTGGTTTTGCTTTTTAGCAACTTTCTTGAGGTACAATCTACATACCATAAGATTCACACATTTTAAATGTATGATTCAATAATTGTCAATAAATATATACAGTTGTGTATCACTACAATCCAGTTTTAGAACATTTCCATCAGAGATCCCCATTCGCATTTGCAGTCAATTCCACTTCTCATTCCAGGCAACCACTAACCCACCTTCACTATAGATTTGCCTTGTTTAGTCATTTCATATAAATGGAATGATAACAGTATGTAGTTTCTCATATCTGACTTCTCTTCCTCAGCATAATATTTTGGAGTTTTACATTGTAGCACGCACCAGTTGTTAACTCCTTTTTTGTTGCTGAATAGTATTCCATTGTGTGGATAGACCACGTTTTGTTTATTCACTCACCAGTTGATGGACATTTGGATTATTTCCACTTTTTGACTATTATGAATAATGCTGCTATGAACATTTGTTTACAAGTCTTTGTGGGAACATGCCTTTTCATTTCTCTTGGACAGCTGGGAATTGCTGGTTTATACGTACATTTATTTTATTTTATTTTAATTTATTTATGTTTGGCTGCATTGGGTCTTTGTTGCTGCACCCGAGTTTTCTCTAGTTGCAGCAAGCGGGGGCTACTCTTTGTTGCAGTGCGCGGGCTTCTCATTGTAATGGCTTCTCTTGTTGCGGAGCACAGGCTCTAGGCGCACAGGCTTCAGTAGTTGTGGCACACAGGCTCAGTTGTTGTGGTTCGCGAGCTCTAGAGCACAGGCTCAGTAGTTGTGGCACACGGGCTTAGTCGCTCCGCGGCACGTGGGATCTTCCCGGACCAGGGCTCCAACCCAGGTCTCCTGCATTGGCAGGTGGATTCTTAACCACTGCGCCACCAGGGAAGTCCTGTACATTTATATTTAACTTTGAAAAAAAATATTTCGAAGTATTTTCCAAAGTGGCAGCACCATTTTACACTGTCACCAGTAATGCATGAAGGTTGCAATTTTTCCACATTCTCACTAACATTTATTTTTGTCTGTCTTTTTGATTATAGCCATTCTAGTGAGTATAAAGTGGCCTCTCATTGTGGTCTTAATTTGCATTTCCCTAATAACTGATGATTCTAAGCATCTTTTCATGTGCTTATTAGCTAGCCATTCATATATCTTTTTAGTGATATATCTATTCAAATCTTTTGCCCATTTTTAAATTGAGTTGTTCATCATCTTATTATTTTTAAGAGTTCTTTATATATTCTGGATATGTCTGTTATCATATATGATTTGCAAATTTTTCCCCAGTCTGTGGCTTGTACTTTCATATTCTTTATTTTTTACTGAATATAGTTAAATTACAATGTTGTGTTAATTACTGCTGTACAGCAAAGTGATACATATACATATATTCTTTTCCATTGTGGTTTATCACAGGATATTGAATATAGTTCCCTGTGCTATACAGTAGGATCTTGTTGTTTATCCATTCTATATATACCAGTTTGCATCTGCTAATCCCAAACTCCCAATCCAACCCTCTCCCATCCCCCTTCCCCTTGGCAACCACCAGTCTATTCTCTATGTCCCTGATTCGGTTTCTGTTTCATAGATAGGTTCATTCGTGTCATATTTCAGATTCCACATACAAGTGATATCATATGGTATTTGTCTTTCTCTTTCTTACTTTACTTAGTGTGAATCTCTAGTTGTGTATTTTCAAATCCTTAATGGTATCATTTGAAGTGCAGAAACTTTAATCTTGGTGGAGTCCAATTTATTATGTGGATCATGCCTTTGTATCATATGATTTGCCAACCCAGGATCGTGAAGGGTTAGGGGTTACCTAGGTTCAACATAGTTTAGTGGTCGAGCCAATGATTGGTTGTAGGTTATGCTTAATTAAACAACTTGTGCTTATAATTCTTCTGCCCTTTACCAGTGGATCTCCATGTGGTTTGGAGAACACATTGACGATTCAGGCAGTTTACAAATTCACCCCCTTTTGCTTTCTGCATGCTCGGGGTCTCACATTCAGCCAGGGATGACTAGATATCTAGGACACTCTCCAATCTCTCCTGAGCATGTGTATAGGCTTATGCAAGTGGGCAGCCTTCCAGACCACCAGGGATGCATGAAAGCTTATTAAGACCCACTATGGCTATCTTGTTCCCAGATTTCTCTGTTAAACTTCTGGCTGGCTTACTGGTCTGTTGCTTGTTCCAACCAGTATCATGACCTCAGGATAGCTGCAGGGTTGGCTTTCCTTGATTGCTTGCCACTAGATTGCTATTATTTTCAACAACATCCACAGGCAAGGGTTTTCCAAGCTCTGCTCCAAATCAAATCAGCCCCTTCCAAGGGCAAATCTCCTTGTGCTCACAAACATCACCACTCTGGTAGGACTGTCACCACAGAACTGGAGTGGGGAAGATGGGAGCAGTCACTGCCTAAAATGCCATGAAATCTCATTGTTCTTACTGAGCTTTGATAGGTTCTCTCAGATAAATGCTTCTCAACTTGATGTATGCCTTTGGTCAATTTCCAGAGTCCTAAGGTGATTGCTATGGCAATTTTGTATAGTTTCATCACTGTTTTTTGTTTTTTTTTTAAATATCTGGTTTTTTTTAATTTTATTTATTTATGGCTATGTTGGGTCTTCGTTTCTGTGCGAGGGCTTTCTCTAGTTGTGGCAAGCGGGGGCCACTCTTCATAGCGGTGCACGGGCCTCTCACTATCGCGGCCTCTCTTGTTGCGGAGCACAGGCTCCAGACGTGCAGGCTCAGTAACTGTGGCTCACGGGCCCAGTTGCTCTGCAGCATGTGGGATCTTCCCAGACCAGGGCTTGAACCCGTGTCCCCTGCATTGGCAGGCAGATTCTCAACCACTGCGCCACCAGGGAAGCCCCCATCATTGTTTTTTTAAAGAGAGGATTTGCTGGGCTTCTCAGTCATTCTGGAAGCCCCATCCCTTAACCAATATGCTCTCAAACCACTGTTAATTTTTCTCTTCTATTATTATAAAATATTTCAAGGACACTGTAGTGAACAATATAATTAACAGCACTAGAGTTATGAATATGACATTATATTCATTATATAATGAATATAATGACATTCACGTAGCCACTATCCATTTTTTTTCAGATCTTAACATTTTCTCTGTTTTTCGTGTTCTGGTGTCTAGGTGTGAATATATGCTTATTTGTTCCGTTTGAATAGATTCAGGCTTCTTGAATATGAAAACTCATGCCTTTCATCAATTCTGGCTAATTCTCAGTCATATCTTTCCAATATTGCCTCTCCCTCATTCTCACTACCTGCTCCTACTAGAACTCCTATTAGTCATATGTTGGATTTCTTCATTCTGAAACTTTTATATCTATGATCTTATTTTTCTATACTACATGCTGGGTAATTTTTCCAACTCTTTCAGTTCCATATTTCTCTCTTTAATTTTGTCTAATTGGCGGCTTAACTCACTGATTTTTGAACTTAAATTACTATATTTTTCATTTCTAGAAATTATTTTACATTTAAATTTATTTTCAAGTATTCCTTCTTCTTTACATTTTTATTGTTTCTTAAATATCTTTAATCACTATAAACTTACTGCTTTATAGTTTTTATCTGAAAGTTCTATGATCTCAAGTTGATAAGCATCTTATCATGCTGATGATGTTGTCTGTGAATCTTGATCATGCTGGATTGTGTCCTCATATGTTTGTAACGTTAGATCAGGTGCTCATTTTTAGCAGGGTTTTATCCTTGAGAATGCTATGTGGCTTAAATTGTGTGTTCCCTCAGAGCAGTTTCATGTTTGCATCTGCCAGGTACCCTCAATTTTATGCTAATTTCTCTGCTTTGGAGCTTTCAGACTAAGCAGAGAATATAAATCCAAACCTCAAATGTGAGGACAGGCCTGTGATTATGATGTCACGGCAATGTTTAATTTTTCTGGGCTCTTGTGTTCCTATCCAGGACACAGGTTGAGACACTCTCAAGCCTTCTCTTTTTCTTCCTATACAAGTGGATAATTTTTTTCCAGACTAACCTTTTCCTATGGGTCTAGCTCGGTCGGGACTCCATCTTTTTATTGAGGCCTCATCTGGCTGTCATCTCCTCTCTATGTAGGCATCAATATCCAATACCCAAAGAAGACCCCCACCCCTAGCAGCTGGGCCTGTGAGCCATGGCCGCTGGGCCTGCGCGTCCGGAGCCGGTGCTCCGCAACGGGAGAGACCACAACAGTGAGAGGCCCGCGTACCGCAAAAAAAAAAAAAAAAAAAAAAAGTCACACCTACTTTACAGAGATGATTCTCAAGCTGTAACTGCAGGGAATCACCTGGGAGCCATTCCTAGAGTTTCTGATTCATCAGGTTTGTGTCGGGGCACGATAACTTGCATTTCTAACCAATTCCAGGTGATAATGGGGCTGCCGCTTGGGGAGACTGAAAACCACTGTTCTAGGAGCTTCCAAGTTCCAAGAGTCTCATGTGAAACTCGAGGCGCAGTTCCTGGCGCAAGGCAAACGAATGCTGCTATTACTGTGTCTACCCGGCGGAGTCCTCCTCCGGGGACCCTGTTCCGCAGAAGACCTACCCCCCACCCCGCCTTCCCTCGCTCCCTTACCGCTGGAGCCCTCTTTAGCCGCTGGACAGTAGTGCCGACAGCACGGATGGGCGGGGCGGCCTGAGTGAGAACAAGGGCGAAGGGTGGGGCCGAGCGTACGCATTGCTGCGCCTGCGTGCGGCGAGGGGGCGTGGCTCAAGCTCGGCCGGAAGCGGGCGGCTGCAGAAGCGGGCGGCTGCAGGGGCGGGCGGGCGGGTTGGCGTCCTCTTTCCCGCTGTTCCCCATGGAGGCACTGGGGAAGCTGAAGCAGTTCGATGCCTACCCCAAGACTCTGGAGGACTTCCGGGTCAAGACCTGCGGGGGCGCCACGGGTAGGCCGTGGCGGGGTCGGGGTGGCGGGGAGTGGGGTGTCCTAGAGGTTGGCTGGGGCGCCTGGAACCTGCCCGGCCTGCCAGGGGCTGAGGAAGAGGAACAGAGGCCCTCCTGACCCTCGCTCCCTGCCCGCAGTGACCATTGTCAGTGGCCTTCTCATGCTGCTACTGTTCCTGTCCGAGCTGCAGTATTACCTCACCACTGAGGTAAGGGGCGGGGCCTAGTACGTGGGCGGGGCTTGACGTTCTAGAGGTAGGTGCTTTAGGGGATGGGAATGGGGAAAAAGAGGCTTGGGGCCAAATCTTACTGAGGTCGTCCTGCCCCAGGTGCATCCTGAACTCTACGTGGACAAGTCACGGGGAGATAAACTGAAGATCAACATCAATGTGCTTTTTCCACACATGCCGTGTGCCTGTGAGTACCTCACCATGGGTGGGAGTTGCAAGTCCCAGGGTTCTCAGGTGGGCTTCCAGGTTCACACCTCCAGCCTTAGGTTCTGGACAGGACTCCAGGATAACCTCCTTCCCCTACTCCACTGCTGCCCCAAGACAAGCCCAGCATCCCCATTACCCTCCAAAACCCAGATTCCCTTGCCCTTAGGTTCCCAGTACCTTACCCTGATTTCCTGCTTCCAGATCTGAGCATTGATGCCATGGATGTGGCTGGGGAGCAGCAGCTGGATGTGGAACACAACCTGTTCAAAAAACGGCTAGATAAGGATGGCTTTCCCGTGAGCTCAGAGGCGGAACGTCATGGTAACTGGGGGGAAGAGACCAGATCTCAAATCCCAGAGCTGGACAAGCCCAAGCACTACCTTCTGGCAAGTGGGCTGTGACCGGCCCAGTGACAAATGAAACATCTAGGACCCAGAGAAGTCAAGTGGCTTGCCTAGGGTCCCCCAGCTATTAAGAATCAGAGTGGGCTGAAATCCAGTTTTCTAGCCTAGTATTTGGAAGAGCACTCTTCAGGGCTGTCATTCTCAGAGGTCCCCAATCCCTACCTGTTGTGGTCTGAGTAACAAAAGTTTGAGGATGGGTCCTATGTGCTGTTGCCTTGGCAGAACTCCTCTAGGTGGACCCACACTTCTCTGGGTGTTGCTTCCCTGTCCCATAGACTGACTTCAGCCGTGAATGCTCTTCCCTCTTGGAATGAAGGATGGCTTAAGGTTGAGTTTGTTCTTGGGTTAGATTGCCTGCTTTCGGATGTAGCTTCGTCTCTTGCCGTCTGTGACCTCAGCTATTAAGTGGTGATAAACAGTTGTACCCACCACGTGGAATTGTAGGATCAAATGAAGTAATATGTGTACAATGCCTAGTACAGAGTGTCTGTTCACTTTTAGCTTCCTTTCTTCTCTCTGGGTGTCCTCCCAATGCCTCCATTAAGTCAGTTTTCCTCCATAATAAAACCTTCCTGAAAGCTATGATTTTTCACACCTTAGGGATTCCTCTGTTGGTGAGCTTTATCATTTATTTGTTCAACAAATATATGTTGAACACCAGTAAAACCAATAGAATTGGCTGTAGGATTGGGTGTGGGGTCAAGGTTGATTCCAAAGCTTTGGTCTGAGGAAATGAATGACTTGATGACCAGAAAGGAGGAAGAGGATTTGTGTGTTTGGGTGGGAGAGGTGGGGGAATATATATCCACTACTGCATAACAAGTAACCCCCAAAGTTAGTGACTTAACACAACAAACATTTTCTTTTCAGTTTCTATGGGTCAGGAATTCGGGAGTGACTTGGTTGGGCTGTTCTGACCATTGCAGTTGGCAACACGGAGGTCACTGGAGACTGAAAGGATTAGTTTTGATACTGTTGGGGATGAAAATCTAACCAAAGAGTAGAAAAGCAAGTGGAGACATCAAGTATAGATGACCCTTCCAGGAGTCTTGCTGTGAGACAGAGCGGAGAAGTAGGGTGGAGGCTGGAAGAGAGTGCATGCGGGTTGGTAGGTTTGGTGTTGAGATTAAGTGAGGTTCTGTTGCTTCTCTTTCTTTAGTGGAAATTGAAAGCAAAGTCATTAGCTAAGAGTGGAGAAAGGGGAAGGGATTTTGGAAGCCCAAGGAAAGGGGAAAAGATATAAATTAATCATCGTAGGGAATGGGATAGTGAACTGATTATTGAAAGGAAGTAGGATTGCCAGGCAGTCTTAAGGGAGGCACAGGAAAGAAGTAGGCACAGGGAGTTGAACTCAACTAGGATTTGAGTTTTGCTAGACTTGTACGACAAAGGGAGAGAGGAACAAATGACTTGTGATTATGTGCAAGAGAATAATTGCAGCAGTGGACCAGAGAATTTATTTTCCAGCCTTGTAGAGATATAATTGAAATATACCATCGTGTAAGTTTATGGTATACAACATGATGATTTAACATACATATTTGTTATAAGATGATTACCACAATAGGGTTCCCTAACACATCCATTACCTCACAGTTACCTTTTTTGTGTATGTGGTGAGAACGTTTAAGATGTACTCTCAGGGGCTTCCCTGGTGGCACAGTGGTTGAGAGTCCGCCTGCCGATGCAGGGGACACGGGTTCGTGCCCCGGTCTGGGAAGATCCCACATGCCCCGGAGCGGCTGGGCCCGTGAGCCATGGCCGCTGAGCCTGCGCGTCCGGAGCCTCTGCTCCGCAGCGGGAGACGCCCGTGTACCGCAAAAAAAAAAAAAAAAAGATGTACTCTCAGCAACTTTCAAGTATACAGTACAATATTGTCAACTATAGTCACCATGCTGTACATTAGATCCCTAGAACTTATTCATCTTACAAGTGAAAGTCTGTACCCTTTGACCAACATTTCCCCATTTCCCCTACCCCCCAGCCCCTGGCAGCCACCTGTCTACTCTCTGTTTCTATAAATTTGTTTTTTTTAGATTCTACATATAAATGAGATCATACAGTATTTGTCTTTCTCTATCTGACTTATTTCCCTTAATATAATGGCCACAAGGTTTATCCATGTTGTTGCAAACGGTAGGATTTCCTTCTTTTTAATGGCTGAATAATATTCCAATATATGTATATGATATATATAAAATATTCTAATATATATGATATATGTAATATTCATTATATATATACACACCATATATATATATACACACCATACACACACACACACACACACAGACAAACCACGTTTTCCTTATCCATTCATCTGCTGAGGGACACTTAGGTTGTTTTTTTTCTTGGTTGTTGTGAATAATGCTGCAATAAACATGGGAATACAGATATCTCTTCAAGATACTGATTTCTTTTCTTTTTTTGTATCTATACCCAGAAATGGGAGTGCTGGAACAAATGGTAGTTCTATTTTTAATTTTTTGAGGAACTTCCATATTGTTTTCCATAATGGCTGTACCAATTTACACTCCCACCAACAGTGCACAAGGGTTCCCTTTTCTCCACTTTCTCATCAATACTTACTTCATTTTTGTTTTTGTTTTTTCTAATAATAGGTATTCTAACAGGTGTGAGGTGATATCTTGTGGTTTTCATTTGCATTTCTCTGATGGTTAGTGTTGTTAAGCACCTTTTCATGTTCCTGTTGACCACCTGTACGTCTTCTTTTGAAAAATGTCTGTTCAAGTCCTTTGCCCATTTTTAATTGAATAAATTGATTTTTTTGCTATTGAGTTATATGAGTTCCTTACACGTTTTAGATATTAACCCCTTATCAGATATATCATTTGCAAATATTTCTCCCATTCCATAGGTTGTCTTTTCATTTTGTTAATTGTTTCTTTGCTGTGCAGAAGCTATTTACTTTGATGTAGTTGCACTTATTTTTACTTTTGTTGCCTGTGCTTTTGGTGTCATGTCCAAAAAACCATTGCCAAGACCAATATCAAGGAGTTCTTTCCCTATGTTTTCTTCTAGGAGTTTTATGGTATCAAGTCTTACATTTAATTCTTTAATCCATTTTGAGTTAATTTTTGTGAGTGGTATAAAAGAGGGGTATAATTTCAATCTTTTACATGTGAATATCCAGTTTTCCTGGCACCATTTATTGAAGAGACTGTTCATTCCTCATTCGGACCATAAAATTTAAACACGGAGGGAAGTGACGATGTGAAGGGGTGATAGTGTCAGTGGTGTCAAAGAATTGGTAGATTCTGGGTACCAGAGAGAGTGATGTGGGAAAATGAGGGTAAGATTGAAGATTGGGATACTTGAAACTGAATTTTGGAAGGTTTGTGGTAACTGGTAATAACTGAGTATGGAAATGCGTGGCTGAGGTTTGGATGACAAAAATAGAAAGATTATTGGAGGACAGGAGATCAGGGTATTGAATATTGAAATCACCAGTTATGTTGAGGTAGTTAAAGGCAGGGAGCCAGGTGCAGAGAGAGCAGTCTGAGGACAAGCACCATAGTTAAGGGCTTACACTTTGGATTTAGAGCTGAAATCTGCCACTTACTGTGTTGCATTGGGTGAAATCACTTTTCATCTCTGAACCTCAGCACCTTCTCAAGTAATATGGCGATAATAACCTCCACCTTCACAGTCATTGTGGGGTTGAAAAGAGACAATATATGTAAAGTACAGCGACCTGTACTCAGCTAATATTTAGTATTCACTGTTATTGTTTTATTACTATTATCGTTATTAAAAGAAATAATATATGTGTAGAAATGCTTAGTGCCTGACACATAGTATACATGATGTAAATATTAGCTGTTATAATGTTTATTAACCCAAAGGGCCCATGCAAGGGTTAGGGGTATAGATTTCACTGTGCCTGCCCCCAGCTGATGCCCCTGCCTCTGCCCTCCCCTTAGAGCTCGGGAAAGTTGAGATGAAGGTGTTTGACCCTGATTCCCTGGACCCTAATCGCTGTGAGAGCTGCTATGGTGCCGAGACGGAAGACATCAAGTGAGCCAGGGTCGGGGGTCGGGGTGGGGGGTGGGGAGCTGGGCCCCCATCAGGTGCTTTTTGTCAGTCATCCTCAGCCTTTGTTGGACTCTGTGGTTTAGACCAAGAATTTAGACGGGACGGGACAGGCTGCATGCCTTGGTCCCTGATCCTGGTGCAGGCGACTGAGGCTCTGTGGCTAGGCCCTACCTGGGGGCTGCAGAGCTGGGGACGAAGTTGAAGTGGTCCTTGCTCTGGTTCAGAGGTAGTCTCTGGAGTCCAGCTGCCTGGGTTCTACCCATGGGTCCTTGGGCCAAGCTACGTAACCCTCTCTTGTGAAGGGGGACCATAATGGCACCTTTCTCACAAGAGTCACATAAGGAATATGTATGTAAAGCAGTGAGATGGCAGGCCCAGCCCAGGTTATTAATTAAGCCTTCCATATATGGTAACTGCTGGTTTGTGTCTCAGGCCCTGACCCGTGAGAGGCTGATTCACCAGGTCTAGGGCAGGGCCTGGGAATATGTATTTTTAAAAAAATTTTTTAGGTAAAATATATATGACATAAAATTTACCATTTTAACCATTTTCATATGTGCAATCCAGTGGTATTAACTACATTCATAGCATTGTGCAGCCATCACCACAATCTGATCTAAAAGTTTTCATCACCCCAAAGAAAATGGGAATATGTATTTTTAACAGTCCTGCTGCCACTGAGGAAACATACTTTGAGAACACTGGATGGTCAGGGCTGAGGCTGGCAGAGGCTTCATTAGTGGGCAGAACTGCTTTATTTCCCAAGGTGCCGGCACTGTTTCTGTGCCTCTTTGACATTCTCCCCCTGCACCTCCTCCCCTACAGGTGCTGTAACTCCTGTGAGGATGTGCGGGAGGCATATCGCCGTCGAGGCTGGGCCTTCAAGAACCCAGACACTATTGAGCAGTGCCGGCGAGAGGGCTTCAGCCAGAAGATGCAGGAGCAGAAGAATGAAGGCTGCCAGGTGTACGGCTTCTTGGAAGTCAACAAGGTACAGGAGGAGCCGAGGTGGGACAGGGCCAGCTGGGCTGTGGGTTGGCCCCACTCCACTGTGAATCGAGGGGACAAAGGGAAGGGAGGAAACGGCTGGAGAATGAGAGGGCATCTCCCCTACAGGTGGCGGGAAACTTCCACTTTGCCCCCGGGAAGAGCTTCCAGCAGTCCCACGTGCACGGTAAGTGACCCGACATCAGCTGGGAGCTTTAGCCCCTGGACACCTGGCGAGTTTGAGTGCCCCTTCGGCTGCCTCCTGCTCTATTGTCTTTGGCCCAGAGCAGACCCTGAACCCAGGACAGCAGTTTGGTAAACAGTTAAGAGCACAGGCTGAGGAGCCAGACTGCCTGGCTTCAGATTTCAGTTTTAGACCTTACAGGCTGTCTGAAACTTTGAGAAATTTCCTTAACTTTTTGAGCTTCAGTTTCCTCCTTTTTAAAGTGGGGATGATAGTACTCATCTCCTATGCTGTTTGGGCAGGTTAAAGATGATAGCACAGAGCCTGGCTTGTGGTAGGTATTTATTTAAATGGTAGCCCCCAGTATCAGATGACCTGTGTGTGAGGCTTTGGGGGAAGCAGAGCTGGTTTGGAACCCAGGTTCTGCCTCTCCCACGCTGTGTCGTATTTAGTACGTATTGAGCCCTACTCAATTTCTTCTTCTATAAAATGGGCCTGAAATAGTGCCTACCTTACAGGGTTGTTCACAAGGATGAATAAATGAGATTTATTCTCATTCATTTATTCATTCGTACATTCACTAGATATTTGGTAATCACCTGTTGTGCGCCATGTGCTAGTCTAGGTGCTAAGGATACAGCAGTGATCAAAACAAAGTCCCTGGGACTTCCCTGGTGGCACAGTGGTTAAGAATCCACCTGCCAATGCAGGCGACACGGGTTCGATCCCTGGTCCAGAAAGATCCCACATGCCGCGGAGCAACTCAGCCCGTGTGCCACAAATACTGAGCCTGCGCTCTAGAGCCCGGGAGCCACAACTACTGAAGCCTGTGTGCCTAGAGCCTGTGCTGCGCAACAGGAGAAGCCACCGCAATGAGAAGCCTGTGCACCACAATGAAGAGTAGCCCCTGCTCACCACAACTAGAGAAAGCCCACACGCAGCAATGAAGACCCAATGCAGCCAAAAAAAATTTTTTTTAATGAAAAAAAAAGTCCCTGCCCTCAGAACATTCTAGTAAAGAAACAGACAATAAATAAGTATGTAAAATGTATATCAGATGCTATTAGGTAACTCAAACCCAAAAAAGGCAGGATAAGGATGATGGGGCCGAGAGGTTGGGTGAGACGGTGTGTGAGTACCATTCTATATCGGGTGGTCAGGGGAAGACTCTGATGGATGACATTTGAGTGAAGACCTGAAGAAAGTGAAGGGACCGGCCATGTGGATGACGGGGGTGAGGTGTTTCAAACAGAGAGAATAGCAAGTGCAAATCCCTAAGGCAGGAATGTGCTTGGTGAACTCAGGGCACAGTGAGGAAGTGAGGGTGGCCGGAGCACAGTTAGCCGAGCTGCGTGGTTAGCAGTAAGATGAGGGAGGTAACAGGGCCCAGGAGGGCACTGCAGGGACTCGGGCTGCTGCTTTGCATGAGATGGAAGGCTGTCGTGGGGCTCTGAAGAAGAGGCACGTGATCTGACTTAATTTTGAAAAGACAGGCAGCCCTCTGCTCTGTGGAGAAAACGGCGGGCCCGGGTGGGGGGTGTGGCGGAGGAGGACAGAGGCAGAGAGGCCGATCAGGAGGCTGTTAACGCAATCGGTTCAGGCACCAGGTGATGGGGGCGGGGCCAGAGTGGTGGTAGATGTGGTGAGAAGTGACTGCGGGTATTTTGAAGGTGGAGCTGCTGATGGATGCGAAGGTGAGGGAAAGAGGAGTCAAGATGACACCGAAGTTTTCTACTTGAGTAGCGAGAAGGATGAAGTTACCATTTAGTGATGGGGGATGACTCAGAGGAACAGGTTTAGATGGGTGGAGTGGGGGTCATAAAGCCACTTTCAACATGTTTGGACCAGTGGGATGTGGGTGTCCTTTTAGACACCTCAGATGTCAAGAAGTTGGCCATTCAAGTTTGGAGTTTAGGGGAGAGGTCTGGCCTAGAGATACAAATGTTGGAGTCATCAGTGTATTAAAACCATGGGACTGAATGAATCACCTCTGGGTGGAGGTGAGGGTAGATGGAGAACAGGAGAGCTCAGGAGCCTAAGCGCCGGGCCCCAGCATTAGAGGACAGGGCATCAGGAGGAAGCAGCAGAGGAGACTGCTAAGAAACACCGAGGAGATGAGAGCGTGAACCAGACATCCTGAAAGCCAAGGGATGAAAGTGTTTCCAGAACCGTATCAGATGCTTCTGGACATCAAGTACAACGACCATTGGGTGTATAACGTGGCAGTGGTCATTGTGACCTTAACAGAGCAGTTCGGGTGAAGTGCCAGGAAGCACCACTGAGTGGTTCAGGAGGGAATGGGAGAGGAGTGGAGCCAGTGAGCAGAGGCAGCGCTTGTGGGGTTTGTTCTAAAGGGAAGGGAGAGAGTGGGCTGTGGCTGGAGGGAAATGTGGAGCCACGGGGGGGGTTGTAAGATGTGTGATGTAGCAGTGTGTTAATATGCTGTCGGAAGTTACCTCCTGAAGAGAGCAGAAGCGATGCTCCGGAGATGAGAGAGACATTTACTGGAGTGAAGTCCTTGAGAAGGAAAAGGAAGACAGAATGTAGTGCCTTAGAGGTGTAGAAAGCCCCAACTTGGCAACAGGAGGAAGGGCAGATCTACACAGGTTTGGGTAGGTTGGCAGCTGAAATCACCAGGAATTGTGACAGGACCATCGTATGGGAGAGCGTGACAGTGGCTACAACTCTTGAGAACTGGCATGGGAGGACTGACCGGCAGTTCTTTGTGGATCTCCAGCAAACAGATGGGGATGGGAGGTGGTATAGTGTTCCAGGAGCTGCAGACCTGGAGACTTTTAGGGAAGATCAAGGGACAGTGATCTGAAAATGGCATTAAGGAGCAAGGAGGACCTCTCTTAAGGCCAAGGAGGAGGACGGGTGTGGGAGAGAAATAGTCACTGCTTGAGGCCTGCAAGGGAGATAGTGCTCTCAAGGGAGAGCTGGGCTGCCGCCAGAGCACAAGGCGGAGGGAAGGTTTGGAGGCTGAAGATGTCGAGGTTTTGCTGATGAGTAACAGGGCACGTGGAAGGGTCTGGGACGGATGGGAGTCGGGATTATACTAAGAGGATGTACAGAGCTACATGGTGACAAGAGTCCAGGGGATGAGAGATGACCTGGCAGTCCTGAGCTGCCCGGTGACGGAGGACAGCAGGAGTAACAAGCCTGATGGAGATGGCCCTGCTGGTCCTTAAGGCAGTTGGGGATGAGGCTGAGTGTTGGAGAGGAGCAGGCAGGTGGATCTGGAGGGGGCCGGGGAAGGGTGGTCTTACTGGGATTAGGAAGACGATCAGCGTGGAGCTGTGGGCACAGGGCCTGCAGGTGGTGCATCTCTGCTTCTCTTTCTGGGCTGTTGTCATAGTCAGGGAGCCCAGGGCAAAAGGCACTCCATATCCTAGAAGGATGTTCGAAACACAGAACTACAGTTGCCCGAGGCCAGAGGCTGAATTGAAGGCCTGGGAGCTAGTTTCTGACATTATGTTGATTGGGGAAGAAAAGGGGAAGACTGTAAAGTTTACCAAGTACTTTCCCATCTTAGATCCTGCCTGGTCCTCAGGACAGCCCTGTGCAGAGGGGAACACCAAGGCTCAGAGAGGACAAGTGATTTGCCCAAGGCCACACAGCTAGGAAAGTGACTCTGGGCTCTAGGTCTTTTGTTCTTCCTAGGCCACCATACTTCTGCCCCCAAGCCCCCTTGCCCTCTTCTCTGGCCAGGGGAGGGCTCCTTTGGGGAGGGGACCAGGAGGAGGCTTGTTAGCTGAGTCCTGACCCTGCTGCTGAGGCAGGAATATCCAGTCTTCCCTTCTACCACATATCTTGGTCTGTAATTCTCATAGTTCTTGTTGTGAAGCTCTGAATCTTTCTTCTCTTCCTCCCTTCTCTCTTCTTCCCTCCCCCATGCTGCAGTACATGCTGTGGAGAGTAAGTGGCCCTGCCCTCCCAGGGAGGCCAAGCCCCCATTTCTGGGGCAGCCTGCCCTCCCAGGATGGGCGGAGGTGTGGATGGGTGGGATGGCTGCCCGGTGACTATAAAAAGCAGTGGGATGTATCTTTTAGGTGGGGTTCCTTGTAGCAGGGAGGGATCAGGGTTAGAGGGCAGGAAGAGCTTGTTCTGGAACAGAGGGTGCAGGTTGCCTGTGGGATTTCCTTTGGTGGGTTGAGGGTGAGGGCAGAGGAGGCAGGGAAAGAGCTTGGACCACATTCTCAGGTCCCACCTCACTCTGGGGTTCAGTGATTGGCCACTGGCTCTCGTTAAACCTGAGTCAGTGGGTTTTCTTTCCTGAGATGCAGGCAGGGCCTTGGTGGGAACAAAGGCCTGGAGTGATGCCCGTGAAGGGCTCCCTGTGTATGTTAGGGAGGAACTGGGGCCTGTGGAGGGCATGGACTCTCACGCAGGCCTGCGGCAGGCCCTCTGACTGCCCTCAAGCAGGGCCAGACTGGTGAGTGAATGAGGGGTAGAGGATGAGCCAGGTGGGTCACAGTCCAGAGGTAGGAGTGAGGAGGCCCAGGCGAGGGTGTGGGAGCCTGCTCCGTCTGCTGACATCTTCTCCCTTCTCTCCTAGTCCATGACCTGCAGAGCTTTGGCCTCGACAATGTACGTACCAGGTAGAAACCATGGAGGGCGGGTGGAGGTGGAAGCATGCTGCTGCCTTCGTTCTCTGTAGAGACATCCTGGGGTGGGGAGCAGATATAGAAAAATAAACCATGTTCTGACAGGGGGTGCGGTCCGAGGGTACTGGCGGTGACTTTTGAACTGAGATCCGCGTGGGCTGGAGACAGGGGATGAGCTTGGACAAGAGCATCCGGGAAGAGGGAGCCTTGGGGTGAGGTCAGGAGGGTTGGGGCACTTCTCAGGAACAACAGGGCCATGTGGTTGGATGAGGATGAGGCTGGAGGGTTGGCAGGCCGGCCGGGGGGTCTGGACTTTCTCCCAAGCAGTTGGGAGGCTGTTGGCTTACCTTAAGCAGGGTTATGACATAATCAGATTTGCACTTTTTTAAAAGATCCCTCTAATGGCTGTTTGATCTAGACAGGAGCAGGACAGGCGCCAGAGCTGGGAGATCTGGGGTGCCTCCAGGCAAAGCCAGCACCTGCCACACAGGGCCCATGTCCAGTCTGTGCTTGGCTAATGGGTGGGTGCAGCCAGAGCCTCAAACTCTGGAGCCCCAGGAGCCCCCAGACCCTAAGGAAGGACTTCCTAGGTGGGGTGGGGGTGCCTGTCTCAAGCAGGTTCTCCTAGGCAGGGCCCAGCCCTTGGCCCATCTCTACACACCAGACCCAGGTGCCCCTGTCTGCTCCTGTCTGAAGAGCCTTAGAGAGGGAGGGGCCTTTTGGGGCCTCGAGTGCTCCAAGACCCAGGAGCTGGTGTTTCTTGCAGATCAACATGACCCACTACATCCAGCACCTGTCATTCGGGGAGGACTACCCGGGCATTGTGAACCCCCTGGACCACACCAACGTCACTGCACCCCAAGGTACCAGCCTGGGAGGTAGCCCCCAGCTACCCAAGCCCTGCCTGCACCCACGCCCAGTGCCCTCTTCTCCCTGCAGCCTCCATGATGTTCCAGTACTTTGTGAAGGTGGTGCCCACGGTGTACATGAAGGTAGATGGGGAGGTGAGTCTGAGGGAGCTCAGACATCCAGGCACCCTCTTGGTGCCAGGCACCTGAGTTCCTTCAAGCTGGGAAGCGGAGTCCTGCTCTTATCCCCATATGATGGGTGACAAGGTGAGGCTCAGAGAGGGTAGGTGATTTGCCCTCACAGCCAGAGCTCAGGCCCCAGGCTGTCAGATTTCAAAGTGCTTTACCTACTTGCCCAAAGTACCTCCATCCACTCCTCCCGTGTCCACTCTCTGTCTGCCTCACTGTCCCCCGTTATCTGCCCTGAGCCAGGAGCTAGCAAGGTCAACCCTCCCGTGCCCCTTCCTCCCGTCTCTGCTGTGGCCTGTGGAGCAGCATCTCCGCAGACTGGTAGAATGCAAGGGACTGAGCAGAGAGGAAGTCAGGCCCAGCCTCGCCAGGAGCTTGTGGTACAGCCTTGGAGAGTTGCTTCTCGCTCCTGGACCCCCATTGAGAGGGTCCACCAAACGTAGCTGGGATTGAGAAACTGTAAAGAGCTGGTGACTGGAGGGGAAGCTGGGATGGTCAGGCTGGGAGAGGGCATCTAGGTGGTCCCCAGGCCTTGCAGTGTTTGTTTCCAACGTGGGGCCTCGTTTTCTCCTCCACACAGTCAAGGCACTGCAACACCAGGGGTAGGAGCAGGGGTGGGGTGGCAGGGTTGGGAGCCAGGTCATAGACCCAGCCCTGGCCCAGGCTCCCCTCCCATCCCAGGTGCTGAGGACAAATCAGTTCTCTGTGACCAGACATGAGAAGGTCGCCAATGGGCTGATGGGCGATCAGGGGCTTCCTGGAGTCTTCGTGCTGTATGAGCTCTCGCCCATGATGGTGAAGCTGACGGAGAAGCACAGGTGAGGGCGGGGAAAGGGAGGGGCCTGGGCCGGCAGGGAGCGGGGTGCCTGCTGACCCTCCCCCGCCCCTCTGCCAGGTCCTTCACACACTTCCTGACAGGCGTGTGCGCTATCATCGGGGGCATGTTCACAGGTTAGAAGCTCGAGGGTGTCTGTCTGGGGTTCAGGGCTTGGTGGGGAGTGTAAAGCTTGACTCCCCCCACTAGGTTTTGGTTGAGGGAGGAGGGGCACTTCAAGGGCCAAGGTGGGGGATGCTGGCCTGGCCAGTCAGGTGACAAGGCCCAGATGGCAAGCCAAGAGCCCGCCTGGGCCAGTGCCAGCCCTCGTCTCTCTCCCCAGTGGCCGGACTCATCGACTCTCTCATCTACCACTCAGCTCGAGCCATCCAGAAGAAAATTGATCTAGGGAAGACAACATAGTTGTCCGTCCCTTCCCCCGCAACAAGTCCCTGTTTTCCTTTGGCCTTGTGGTCATTTTCCCAGCCTCTTACCCCACCCACCCCGCACATCCCCTCTGCAGAGTCAGTCGCAGCCCCAGGTTGGTAAATCTATCGATTGTGATAGTACTCGCTGGTCTCTGTGTGGTTCTTGGGTCTGGCTGGAGCGTGGGAACAACCCTCATCACAGCCACTTATCAAAGGCTGTCAGGACTGACTTTGCAGAGCCAGGTGCCCCTGGGAGCCCCACGTGGACGTCCCTGCTTAATAGGACTTGATTCAAACCCGACTGATGTTCACTCCACAGCCCCATAATCAGTCCCTCCCACCGTGGCCTTCAGGCCTTTTGGGTTCAGCCCCAGGGCTTAGATGGACCTGTCCAGGATGAGCTCCCTGGAGTCATCCTGGCCCCCAGCCTTGTGAGTTTCCGACCCCACTGGTAATAGGCCCTGGCTGCAGGCTGGGGATTGCCACCTCAGTGGTGGCTAAAGCTGGGGCCCCTCCCTGCCACCCTGGGCTCAGTCACCTGATCCCCTCCTGCTCACTGACCCTGCGACGTGCCAAGTGCCTGCTGGCTCCTGGTGCCCAGAAGGGTACAGCCAGGTCCTTTGCAATTTCCTGGGTGGACACAGAACTGAAAAACGGGGAGGGAAGGTAGCAGTGGCCATTCTGAAGCAGGGCTAGCATCAGACTCTGGCTCTGGACCTAGTCAGGCCTTCCCATTACAGCCCTTAAGATGTGTGGGGAACCGGCCCTGAGACCTCACCAGTGCATAGCCCAGGCAACCAGGGACATTAGTAGCTGGTCAGTTCAGCCAGTCATTTCTCAGGGAGTTTCAGTGTAAGACAGTAGTGGGGGGAGAAGCGGAGGACAGAAAGCAGAGTAGGGCAATGACAGCAAAACTTCTGGAGGCAGCCGGACATGAGACCCAGCTCTGATGTGGCCACTTACGAGCTGTGACCTTGGACGTATTATTGGTGGGCCCTTGTCTCATTTATGAATTGCAGGTGATATTGTCAGCTGTAGTGAGCCTTGTTTTTTTGGTCACCCGGGAACCATTCCCCCTTGTTAACGGTATCCTGGGTTTCCTCTGGGAACCTCCCTGCCCACTGTCAGCTTGTGTGATTTGGGAAGAGGGCTGATCTCCCACCCTAAGCCCCAGGGGAGGGCCCCAATCAGCATATCCCATCCCACACCCCCACCCCAGTGACCCAGAGCAAGCTAGCATCTGTCAGGCCTAGGAAAGCTTTCTTTCCTTCCGGACATGAGTATGGGGAGACGTGAGGTTGCTGCAGCCGTCCTGCACTTCCGAGGAGAGACCCTGTCTGCAAATGAACTTCCCCTGAGGACTGCAGCGCCAAGCTCAGGCAGAGAACCAGTCCTGGTGACATTGTTTGAACCCTGAGACAAACAGCACCTGAAGCCAACCAATTCCTGGGAATTACAGCTGTGTAAGCCAATAAATTCCCTTTTTGCTTAAGCCAGCTTGGGTTAGGATTTCTGTCACTTGCAGTCAAGTGTCCTAAGTGATCTGCCTACTCTCAGGGTCGGTACAGGTTCACGGAGCACATAAAGGGCTTAGCTGCCATGGAGCAGCAGAAGCCACAGCAGATGGGGTGAGAGGGACCCAGCCGCTGGCAAGAGCAGGCGCAGCAGGTGGGCTGCTCGAGGGCCTGACACCTCGGTGGCCAGGGCTCCTCGGCTGTGACCCGCCACGGGGCCACATGGGCAGCCTCCCATTCTGTGCATTCATGCGCCCGAGGCCACCCAAGAACACATCTGTTCTCTGCCCCTAGTGTCATTTATTATCTGCAGCATGTGTTCAGGGGACAGGGCGGATACCTCATAAGGTTTACACAGAGAAAGCAGGGAACACCAGGATGGTTCCTGTTGGTGGGAAGGACACCAGGGGCAGGAGTTGAGGAGCTGGCATTACGGGATGAGTGTCCAAGGTCAGTCAGGGGCGGTGGAGGGGGCGGACAGTGACCTGGCTGATCAGGCCAGGCCTGGTGTAGGAGATGAGGAGGAGGAAGACAGTGATCAGCGCCGCCAGCAGCAGCAGGATGCGCCAGCACCGGCGCCAGACAAAGAAGACGGAGGTCTTCAGCGGGTTCACAAACCAGTTGAAGGAGGTTTCGGGACAGCTGCGGGGAAGCAGGTGGTGTCGGAATGATGAGGAAGCCCCCCAGCTGCCCCCTCCCCCCTCCCCCAGGCTCTGGCCCCGCCTCCTGTACCGCACTGCCCGCACCCTTGGGCTTCTCCGAGGGCTCTGGCTCCTTGTGCCTCTTTCCCACTGGACGTTTCTCAGCCTCCTCCACAGTCAGCAGCTCAAACTCAGCCTCCACCTTCCCCTGGAAAAGGGGCGACGGAAGCCAAGTTCTTAGGCCGGCTCAGGCCTGGCCCCTGCCTGGCCCGGTTCCTGCCCTGGCCGCACCCACCGTGAGGATGTAGACGTTGCCTCCTGAGTCCGAGAACTCTTAAGTCTTCTGGCCGGCCCTTCCTCCTCTTCTTCCTCTTCTTGACAGCCTGAGCCTCCAGCACCCGCAGCTTCACTACAGGCCACCAGCCCCGCAAGCAGCGGCAGCGAAACAGATTACGCCTTGGCCCGGCCCCGTCCCGGACCAGCCACACGGAGCAGAGCTCGGGGCCCCAGGCCCCTCGCACCATGTCCGGTAGCTGCAGCTCCAAGGATCCTGCAGGTCCAGAGTTCTCTGGGTTAGGCAGGAGCTCAAGGTCTATCTGAACCAACCTCCCTCCCTGAGAGTGACATCAAGGAAAGCCGAGCCCAGAGGTAGAAAGTGACAAGATGGCTGAGGGGGAGGGGCAGCACAGCGGGATTGTAAATCGGGGCATCCAAAGTTAGAATGTGGCAGTCAGGCCCCAGCTATGGACCACACACCACAGCCCAAATGTCAGCAGGTTGTCAGACCCTGATGATACAGGGCCCAAGGATGGGACCAGACCGCCAAAGCAGGGACTAAAGGCCATGGAGTCAAGAGTCCAGTGTAACCCGAGCTCAGGTCAAATTAGAGGACTGAGTGGTAGATTTGGGTGGAAATGGAGGTTTTGATGCTCAGAGCTGAATAAGTTCAGTAATTAGGCCAGAAAGCAGACCTAGAGTCTGAAATCCAGGATTGAGGATTGGGTTAGAGTAGGGAACCCAGGAGAGAGGGGACAGGGCAATGAGGGCAGAAATCGGGGCCAGGGGTTGAGGTAGGAGGGCAGCTAAGCAGTAGCAAGGAAGTCGTTCGTTGGTCGAGATGCAGTCATAGTCCCAGACCTGCAGGACCAGCACAGACGGCTGCCGGAACTCAGCTTCCTCCAGGGTGAAGGGTCCAGGCCAGCAACGGACGTTCACCTCTTGCTCGGTGGGCAGGTAGTCAAAGCAGAACACGAAGCGCCATTGAAGTTCCCTCCCCTGTCAGAGAGTTGAAGTGAACGTCTGTCTCCTGCTTGTCTTGCTCCAGCCCCTTCGCCCAGCTGGAGCCAGGGGAAAGGTGCAGGCGGAGGGGATGGGCATCCGTGCTGGACGGAGCCCAGAAACCGGCTCCTCACCTAGCCTGCCCCTCCACTCACCACCAGCCTGGTCCCTCCACCCAGCTCCGGGCGCCATCGAGGGCTTAGGGGACAAAGCTCTGGCTCAGCCCAGGGCCCAAGCCCCTGTTTGAAATCTCACCTCAGTGCACAGCCATGTGCCCGCTAGGCCTGTAGGCCTACCTTTTCAAGTAGATGTCACTCGACATCTCTCCAGTGAGTGGGTTTGCATCATCCAGAACTACATCCTCCGTGTTCCAGATGATGACTCTGAGCTCATAGCTGAGGGATGTATTGGGGGAGGGTTTTCAGACTCTCGAGAGGGGTCCTGGGAGGGGCTGCAGGAAGGACCTGGGCCAGGGCCACTGACATGCATTGAGCACCTGATGTGTGCCCAGCCGGGTGATCAGGATGTCTGTGGTCCCTTGAAGGGACAGCCCCAGGTATCACCGACCACCCCCACCCCCCCGGATGGCACCAGGAATGGTCTGCTGACCCAAGCTGGGCCAATGGGCCTCTCCCGCCCATAAATTTGGAATCAAGACCCTGAAAGGTTGACTCAAAAAGCATCAGATGCAGAGCTGGAGCCACCACAAGCCAAAGTGCTGTGCAGGCAGAGACAGTCTGCAGAGAGACACCAAGTGGGGATGACAGCACGCAGCCCCTGGGGGACAGAAGGAAGGGCTGTGACATTCTTGATCCTACCCCAAATAGCCCTGTCCTTGTCTGTCATGAGGTTTCCTGGATATCTGTTGTTTTCTTTTGCCCCGTATCAATTTCCCCTCTCTTGTTGACAGCACTCTGATTTTCTGTTGGTGACTCCCACTCCACCCCCACTACTGTCAGTCTGTGTTATCCTGGTGGGGCGGACCAACCCCTCTCTGGCTCCAGAGGTTGGTATATCACCTACGACATCACCCAGGACTGGCCAGTCAATGCATTACAGCTCCCTGATCACAAAGGTTGGTTCAGGAATCAGCATTTGACCCAAGCTGGTACAATGAGAGTCAGCTCGAGACTTTTGCTCTAACTGGGAAAGACGTGTTTTTTTTCCTGCTCAAGTAGTCCGGTTGGTAAGATGTAAGCCTCCACTGTTAAAAGCCACTTGGACCCCAGACTGCATGTCTCCATGAGAGTGACACCAAGGAAAGCAGAGCCCAGAGGTAGAAAGTGACAGATTGCTGACATCTGAAGTGCACACACCCTCCACTCAGAGTAGCTCAGGTCAAAAGGGGGTTAACTGGTATTTGGACTGTTTTAGTTGCAAGTGACAGACACCCAACTCACAATGGCTTATGAAAAAAAAAAAGGGAATTTAACGGCTCACCTATCTGAAGCCTGGATCAGCTCTGCCTGCTTCATGGGGGCCCTTGCACAGGTTTTCAGAGAGCCCTTGTCCAAGATGTGGGCTGTCCAAGATGTGCCCACCCCATGGGAGGATGGACCAGGACTCTCTCTTACCTGATTGGCTGCCGACGCTTGATGTCAACTGGAGGTGGGGCAGGCACATCTCCGGGGAAGATGTCAATCCACACATGAAGGGATCCCTGGGGGCACAGGAAGAGGCTAAAGGGTCTTGCTGGGTCCCACCCCGCTAACGGCCCTGTGGCCAGAGGTTGTGCCTTACCCCACCCAGGTGGAGAGAAGAGCTGGGGTCAAGAGGGCAGATCCTGGGGTATGAGGATGAAGGTGGAGTCTGAACTGGGAATTCCAGGGTTGACGTTAGCCTGAGGGTTCAGAGATGAGGCCCCAGAAGTGGAAGGCTGAGATCAAAAGTAAGATCTAGTGCTCCCAGGTCCAGATCCTAGGAATCTGGGGTAGAGGTCAGGTTGGGAGTGCCAGGTCTGAGCCTTGGTGGCCCAGGGGTGTGGATCCTTCAGAACCAGAGTCCAGGGTGTGGGTATGGGGTCCAGGATGGAAGTCCAAGACTGGAGTGGGGATGCTGGGCACCAGGATCAGGAGCCAAAGTCCAAAGTGGCAGTGCCCAGGTGGAGGTCTTGGAGAAAGGGTGTCCTGGGGTCCCAGGTCCAGGACCAGGTGGGAGTCCTGGGGTTCTGGGGTTGGGTGCTGAGCCCTCCTTCAACTGCAGCAGCCCTGGGCTGCGGCGATGGTAGAGGGGCCGTGTTTCTACGTGCTCAGGTACCAGCTGGATCCCAAGCCCAGGCGTCTCCTGCCAGCGCCACAGCACCAGCAATGCCTGGGGCTCCTCGGGGACCTCACTTGCCACCTCGGAGTCCCCACTACCTGCAACAAGAGGTGTGTGAGCTTGGGTTCCGCACAGTTCCCAACTCTCCTCCCTTCCTCCCCCTGCCCTCAGTAGACGCTCTAGGCTGAGGCAGCTGCATCCGACAAACCCACGGGCTGGGAGGGCAAGTCCACAATGCACAGAAAGCTCTAACAACTTTTGCCAGTGAAAAGCCAGCAGTCAGGGGGACAGTGGGGTTGGAGGCTTTGTGGCCTCTGTGCAGACCTTGTTTAGAGAACAGACCACTGGCCATACATGAAGCATGAGCTAAATTCTGCATCCATATTTTACGTTGTATGGGACTCCTGTGTCCCCAATTAGCTATGGCTCTGAGGGGTTCGCTAGGGCTCCCTGGAGATCTCACACTCACCAACAAAGACCATTTTCTCTCCACTATCATCCTTACTCAGCAAAAACTCAGCTCCTCTGCTTGCAGAGGGAGGCGGGCTCTTTGTGGGGCACACTAGGCTGGGCACCAGGGTCCCCCTGTACCTTGTTCTTCCATCTTGCTCCCTCTGGACTGTGCAGCGGAGAGGGGCTGGTACCTGGGGGCAGGGTCTCTGGCGGTGTCAGAAAGAGTTTGCTGCCCACCTTGACAGCCCCGGCTCGGTATTCAGGTGGGGGGAGGCCACAGGGTAGGCACAGCACCGCCAGGATCTGCGAAGGCTGAAATGCGTCACGCCAGGCACTGTAGCCATCCCTGTGGCAGAAAAGGAATGTGCCTCAGTTGGATCCAGCATATGAACGTACTTGGGCACAGGCGCAGGGATGGGTGCCCTTGAGGACTTGGGATCCAGGTTTGTAACTCCTCTGCGGGACAGGTTAGCCCTCGCTTACGGTAACGGTGAAAATCAAATATGCATGGCAGGTGCTCCTATGAAGGAGATACTGATATTACCCGTCTTTCAGATGAGGAAACTGAAGCTCAGGAAAGCCAAGTGACTTATTAGTTACAGGATCCCAACCCCCAGGCCCATTTCTTGACCAGTAAGCTATAATGTCTTGGTCGCAGGGGAGTCCCCTTCTATGAAATGGAAGGATCTGGACAGACAGGTGGGATGCGAACTTGAATGTCTTTGGTCAGACTTAGAATGACTCCTGAGGGCCCTGTTGGACTCACACGTCATACTGGGACGCCAGCCCACAGTTCGCCCTGTGGTGGCTATAGAATCGGTTTTCCAGATCAATGGGGGTCTCTCTGATGAGGTCATCAGAACCCACGAGGTCATGATCAAACACAGCCACGGTCAACTCTGGCTCAGCAGGGAGAGAGATGCTGAGCTCTAGGGCCCTGGCCAGGAGAGAGCGTGAGGACAACACCTCCACACCCTAGGAGGTGGTCTTGTGAGGGGTAGGGGTGTGAGGGGACTCAACAGCTTCTGTCCATTCCCCCACACCACATCAGCTGCCTGAGTGAGAGCCACAGGGCGGGATGGCAAAGTTGCTCTCCATTCCCAAGCCCAGGGCCCAGCCTCACTCTCCAAAGATGGGGTTCAGCTACTTGAGGATGTAGCACTCCTTGGTGTCCAGCCGCTCCCAGCCAGCGCTCACCACCACATAGGGGTCTGTTTTGCCGTTGGCGTCGGCAGGAGCCAGGTTGGTAGCCTAGGGAGACAGTATGGGGTGGAAATGAAAGAAATGTCATTGTCATAACCCAAGGTGGCTCTTGCCGGACCTAATCTCCGATTGAGTGTAAACAGGAAGTTACCAGGGAGAGATCTTCCACCTCAAGGAGTTAGCTGAGAGGTTGCACAAGATGACTTTTATTTACTTTTAAATTAATTATTGAAATACTTAAGACATACAAGTAAGTATAACAAAAGATATAATGAAACAGAAAATATGTGGAAAGATGTATACCCTTATACATCTTACTATTCAATTTGTAGCTTTCCATATTGTTTGACCTTCATTTTTTTACAATGAGCATATTTTACATTTTATTCCTTTTTTTTACTTTTTAAATTAAGAATATTTTAACTAAATAAAAATAATTACAATTTTTTAATTGTATTAAAAAATAATACAATGAGCATGTGTGTGCCCAGTTTCATAAATTAAACACTACCGACAAATGTCCCCTGAGTCCCCTGAGTCCCCTGACCTGACTTAATTCCTTTTTCATCCCTGAAGTAGCCAGACCCTTTATTTGGGGTTTCTCACTCACAGAAAAAAAAAAAGGAAAAATACTTTTACTACATATACATACGTCCCTAAGCAATATATAGCACTATATTGCATGGTTTAAACTATATTTAGTAAACTTACTTTTTCTGTTTTTGATAACTACGTAATTAAGTAAATTCAGAACTTATGCATAAATTACTGAAGTATAATTTATACACAGCAATATATTTTTAGTCTTTTTACACTCCTACCTGCCATGTATGAGAGTTCCAGTTGTCCCACATCTTTCACACCTGGTATCGTCAGTCTTTTGACTTTCGTCAATCTAGCCCTTGTGAAATTGTAGCTCATTGTGGTTTTAACTTGTATTTCCCTGCTGATGAAGCATGTTGAGCATCTTTGCATGTGCTTATTGGCCTTATATATATATTTGCTTTTGTGAAGTGACTGTTCAAATTTTTTGCTCCATTATTGAGTTTTAAATTTAAAAACATTACACTTTTAATTTCTAAACATTCTAACTGGGCCTTTCAACTTGCTGTTTATTTTTAATAGTCTCTTGTTCCTTGCTCATTTCAAATTCATTCTTTTATTTCTTTAAACATTTCATATATACTTATTTTACATTCTCTATCTAGTCATTCCAATATCAACGACCTTAGGGGTCTGAATGTGTTGTTATTTTTGCTAATTCTTACCCATGGTGACTTTTTTTTTTTTAAGCATCTTTATTGGTGTATAATTGCTTTACAGTGGTGTGTTCATTTCTGGTTTATAACAAAGTGAATCAGCTATACGTATACATATATCCCCATATCTCCTCCCTCTTGTGTCTCCCTCCCACCCTCCCATGGTGGCTTTTTTCTTTATATTTCAGTACTTTTTAATCATGATTCATATTTGGTTTAACTCATGCTGAGGGGCTGTTGTGGGTGTTCTCTGCCAGAGAGAGCTTGTTTTCACTCCTGCCAGTTTCCTAGGCAAACTACCAACCTGCAGCCACTTTAAAATAAATCCTCCACTTGAGGTTTTGGGGATCACACAGATGGTGGGAACTCAGGCCCTGAACTGTATTAGAGCCAGCTTGTGGTCATGGATGCTAGGGGAAACTTTTTCCCCTCTAACCAATGCCAAGTTTAAGACAGGCAAGTTTCCTTGGTGTCTCCTTCTGCCTTTCAAGTTCCTATTTTTGTTCATCCTTATGCAGAGGGTGTAATTTTGGGGCCTCCACTTTACATAAGGCCGTTCAGTCAAACTCCTGCCCTAGGTAGCCCCAGGACTTCATCTTCTGTCCTCCCTGCCTGTCAACCATCCACGAGGAAGATGAGGTTTCCCAGGTCAGCAGTAAGTGTGGGGAAAGCCAGCTTTAGCATTGCTTTTCCCTAGGTCCCTGTTATTAACTATATTTTCCTGTTTTCTGTAATCTTGATGCTGTGGTATCTGGAGCCATACTGGCCCGGGAGAAATTGCACCTGTCAGGGGTACTAATTCCTAGAGTTAGCAAACAACACACCTGCCAGAGCACCTTTCATATACAAACCAACCAATCTAGAGCCCATACAATGTCCAACCACCTCCTCTATCTGGCTCTTATACTCCAGGAAGTAATATTCCTCTGCCCTAATCATCCTCAGGGCCAGGTTCCAGACAACAAGAGACAGTGAGACAGCCCCCGTACCCCAGAGCCCACAGGAATTATTCAAACTAGCCAATCCTAAGCCTGCTTACACTGCCTTGCCCTGCCTTTCCTGCAGAAACCACAATAAAGGCTCTGGCCCTCACACTTCCCTTCCTCCTTCTGCCTCTGGACTGGCCCTCATGCTTCCCCGTGTGGCCCTGCAGGGTACACCAGCCCCCCCCCCCCCCCCCCCCCCAGAAAATTGAAACAACAGACTATCTTTTCAATGGCAACCATCTCCTGATCTGTTGGCTTCACCAAACATGGATAAGAACAAAATCCTGGGTACGTTTTAAAGCAGTTCCTGCTTTTATTCTGGGTTTTTTTTTCCACTCTAAAATCTTTTACTTTCTTGGAAGCTCAGCATTGCATTTAAAAGATTTTTTTTAAATAAATTTATTTACTTCCGGGAAGATGGCGGAAGAGTAAGACGTGGAGATCACATTCCTCCCCATAGATACACCAGAAATACATCTACACGTGGAACAACTCCTACAGAACACCTACTGAACGCTGGCAGAAGACCTCAGACCTCCCAAAAGGCAAGAAACCCCCCACGTACCTGGGTAGGGCAAAAGAATAAGCAGAGACAAAAGGATAGGGACGGGTCCTGCACCAGCGGGAGGGAGCTGTGAAGGAGGAAAAGTGTCCACACACTAGGAAGCCCCTTCGCGGGCGGAAACTGCGGGTGGTGGAGTGGGGGAGATTCGGAGCCGCGGAGGAGAGCACAGCAACAGGGGTGCGGAGGGCAAAGCGAAGAGATTCCAGCGCAGAGGATCAGGACCGACCGGCACTCACCAGCCGAGAGGCGTGTCTGCTCACCCGCTGGGGCGGGCAGGGCTGGGAGCTGAGGCTTGGGCTTCGGTCGGAGCGCCGGGAGAGGACTGGGGTTGGCGGCGTGAACACAGCCTGCAGGGGGTTAGTGCGCCACGGCTGGCCAGGAGGGAGTCCGGGGAAAAGTCTGGAGCTGCCGAAGAGGCAAGAGACTTTTTCCTCCCTCTTTATTTCCTGGTGCGCGAGGAGAGGGGATTAAGAGCGCCGCTTAAAGGAGCTCCAGAGACGGGCGCGAGCCGCGGCTAAAAGCGCGGACCCCAGAGACGGGCATGAGACGCTGTCTGCTGCTGCCGCCACCAAGAAGCCTGTGTGCGAACACAGGTCATTATCCGCACACCCCTTCCGGGGAGCCTGTGCAGCCCGCCACTGCCAGGGTCCCGGGATCCAGGGACAACTCCCCCGGGAGAACGCACGGCGCGCCTCAGGCTGGTGCAACGTCACGCTGGCCTCTGCCGCTGCAGGCTCGCCCTGCACTCCGTGACCCTCCCTACCCCCGGCCTGAGTGAGCCAGAGCCCCCGATTCAGCGGCTCCTTTAACCCCGTCCTGTCTGAGCAAAGAACAGACGCCCTCCGGCGACCTACACGCACAGGCGGGGCCAAATCCAAAGCTGAGCCCCTGGGAGCTGTGAGAACAAAGAAGAGAAAGGGAAATCTCTCCCAGCAGCCTCAGAAGCAGCGGATTAAAGCTCCACAATCAACCTGATGTACCTGCATCTGTGGAATACATGAATAGACAACGAATCATCCCAAATTAAGGAGGTGGACTTGAGAGCGAGATTTATTATTCTTTCTCCTTTTCCTTTTTTTGTGTGTATGTGTATGCTTCTGTGTGAGATTTTGTCTGTATAGCTTTGCTTCCACCATTTGTCCGAGGGTTCTATCCGTCCGTCTTTTTTTTTTTTAATTTTTTCTTAATAATTACTTTTTAATAGCCTTATTTTATTTTACTTTATCTTCGTTCTTTCTTTCCTTCCTTCCCTCCTTTAGACAACGAATCATCCCAAATTGAGGAGGTGAACTTTGAGAGCAACATTTATGATTTTTTCCTCTTTTCCTCTTTTTGTGAGTGTGTATGTGTATGCTTCTGTGTGAGATTTTGTCTGTATAGCTTTGCTTCCACCATTTGTTCCAGGGTTCTATCCATCCGGTTTTTTGTGTTTTTTTTCTCTTAATAATTATTTTTTTATTTTAATAACTTTATTATATTTTACCTTACTTTATTTTTACTTTATCTTCTTTTTTTCCTTCCTTCCGTCCTTCCTTCCTTGCTCCCTCCCTCCCTCCCTCCCTCCTTTCTTTCTTTCTACTTCTACTAATTCTTTCTTTCTACTTTTTCTCCCTTTTCTTCTGAGCCGTGTGGATGAAAGGCTCTTGGTGCTGCAGCCAGGAGTTAGTGCTGTGCCTCTGAGGTGGGAGAGCCAACTTCAGGACACTGGTCCACAAGAGACCTCCCAGCTGCACATAATATCAAACGGTGAAAATCTCCCAGAGATCTCCATCTCAACACCAGCACCCAGCTTCACTCAACGACCAGTAAGCTACAGTGCTGGACATCCTATGCCAAACAACTAGCAAGACAGGAACACAACCCCACCCATTAGCAGAGAGGCTGCCCAAAATCATAATAAGTCGACAGACACCCCAAAACACACCACCAGACGTGGACCTGCCCACCAGAAAGACAAGATCCAGCCTCATCCACCAGAACACAGGCACTAGTACCCTCCACCAGGAAGCCTACACAACCCACTGAACCAACCTTAGCCACTGGGGACAGACACCAAAAAAACAGGAACCACGAACCTGCAGTCTGCCAAAAGGAGACCCCAAACACAGTAAGATAAGCAAAATGAAAAGACAGAAAAACACACAGCAGATGAAGGAGCAAGATAAAAACCCACCAGACCTAACAAGTGAAGAGGAAATAGGCAGTCTACCTGGAAAAGAATTCAGAATAATGATAGTA